CATTTCCGCCCCCCCCCCCCCCCCCCCCCCCCAGTCTCTGACAAACACTTCTATATTCCTTATATCTTATAAGTAAATAGGTACTTAGCAAGACTGGGGTACAAATTTTTATTGTAAGTTACAAACTTATATCCATGATCTATTTGTATAGCTAGGCTCCTACAAGTATGTATCAGTTGCCACCTTATTTATTTTTGGGGGGATTAATAAGCACTTACCATGCTAACTAATTATTGAATGGAATATGGCATATAAAAGGAAAGGGAGAGGGCCTTCTTGGTGGCTGCTCCCAGACTTTGGAACTCCTTCCCTAAAGAGGCCAGGATGGACCCATCCCTGCTCTCCCTTTGGCAGCTGGTGAAAACATTTTTGTGCCATCAGGCTTTTTAAACTGCTGAGACTTGAGCTTTTAAATGTTGTGCAAGTCAGATCAAGGTTTGTATATAGTTTTTTTTTATACATTTTGATATTTGTAATGTGTAATTGTTTTAACTTTTAAAATTGTTTTATAAGCTTTATATTTATACTTTTTAATGCTTTTGTATTGTTTTTTAAATTGTACTATTTTAAATTTGCTGTTAGTCTCCTTGATATTGGGAGAAAGGCAGGATAATAATAATAATAATACAAACAATCCCAAGCATTATACCATTACTCACAAATTCCTTGAAGGTATCTGTTGCAAGCAGGTGAAGATGCTGGGCTCTTAGTACTGCGTTGGCAAAGAGACTGGAAAGAGGCATTGTAGGGAAGGCTGTTGTTCCCTCCGGCCATTGAGGGGCCAAGATGAACAAAGCAATGATGAACAGAGGAGAAGGCCCAAGTACTGCAGAAGAAAATGGAGGAGGCTGAGCTTCTTAGATGGAAATGGAGCCTTTGGAAGACTCAGCTCCTCTCCATATTAATGGGAGGAAAATACAGTATGACACTTAAGCAGATTAAACCCAAGTTCCTTTGCAAACTGGTATGCTTCTTAAAAGCTATGCAGATCTTGCAGAAAGCCTTGCAATCAGTCTTTACAAATATCCAGCCTCTCTTTGCAAGCAAACAAAACTAAACTTTATGAATTCTAAATTGTTGTGTAATTCAGACCAACATTTTATATTGTCAGCCCAATTTCTCCTGTGAATTAAAGAAATGAGCATTGCTAAACCTGAGCTGTTTTCTGGTAAGAGAAAGGCCGTGATGTATTCAAGTCTTTCCATCCAAGTCCCAGATCAAGTCTCAAGTCCATACCTTCAAGTCTGAATTTGAGTCTCAAGTCCTTGCAAGATATTTTCAAGTCGAGTCTCAAGTCTGGGTGCCAACGTTTAACAGGAAAAAAGGAGATGGGTGCATTTCTCGGAGGGGAACAGCAAACACATTAGGCACTGGACTTAAGGTGGGGCTTGAGGTCTGCTCAGCAGGCACATCAGAGGAGCCTTCTAGAGCTTTTCAAAAGCTTTAGAAGAATCCTTCCACCTCAAGCCCATTGCCTAACACATTTGCAGTCCTGCTCAGAAAAATGCATCCTGCTCTCTGGGGGCGAGTCTTCCCTGCTGCTCAAAATGAATGAGACCAGCAAGTTGGTTGCTAAAAATACACAAGTTGTGAGCTGAGTCGAGTCAGTGTGACATATATTGCTGAGTAGCATCCAAGTTGAGTCATTGAAGTGATTTGAATCTGACTTGAGTCCAAGTTAATCAACTGGAGTCTCCATCACTGGAGAAAGATAGTTCTGGTTATGTCACTTGCGTCAGGACTCAACTTCACAACTAGCCCTTTGGCTCCTCCTGGCTTTCCCCCAGATACATTGAACCTTCCCAGAGAACACCACAATCATTAACCAGCCTTTGACCAGGTTCAGTATAAACAGAAAACTCAGAGTTTTGGAAGATTTACCAGGAAGAGGCTGTAGTTATCTCTGCAGATCAAATACATCTACAATAAACAGAGTGTAAGTAGGGTTTCTGCTACAGGCATGAGAGTATGGGTTTGGAGCATGCCTTGCAACTAAACTGTTCAAATCCTTCTCCATATTTTAGACCAGCAAGAACTGGTAGCTCCTTTATCAGTGGGGCAGTGATGAATCTGTTCAAGGTTTTAATCTAAAAGGAGCTATTCCAGGTACTGAAACTATTTGGGGGATAGGGTTTAGTACCCGTGGATAGCTCCCTTTGATGTGGAAGCTAAAATCTAGAGCAGATTCACCAGGCATTGATGTGGCAGCAATTATCTATCACTGGCAAGCCATTTGCAAGTTGCAGTGTTGGGCTTTCTAACTTGAGTATTTGGAATTTGATTCTAAACTAGAAGAAGAAAAACTGAAAAAGTGGTGACCTTTGAAAAGGAGAGCAATTCCTTATACCTTGTAAGACCAATAGTCAAGATACTGTAATTACACCACATCCTGACATTTGTGATATCTTCTAGAGCTTCCATGGAAGAATTTTTAGCTACATATGCCAAGGCTTGGAAGTACACTGGGCCCTTGGTATTCACTTGGATTAGGTTCCAGGACCCCCATGGATACCAAAATCTGTGGATTCTCAAGTCCCATTTTTTGCAATGGCATAGAAAAATGGTGTCCCTTATATAAAATGGCAAAATCAAGCTTTGCTTTTAGAATTTAAAAAAAAAATAAAGGGGCCTTTGGTATCCACTGGAGTTTGGTTGCAAGACTCCCTGTGGATACCAAAATCCGTGGATGCTCAAGTTCCATTAAATACAATGGTGTAGTAAAATGGTATCTCTTATATATAATGGTAAAATCAAAATTTGCTTTTGGATTTTAATGAAAATTCAACAAGCATTAGGAAAAGTTGCTTAAAATGAAGCAAATTATATATAGTCAGCCAAGTATGGGTGGATATGTAATTAATTATTTCTAAATGTGACTTGCAAAACTTTCAGAAATCCCAGGATGGAAGCAATTGCACACACTGCAAGTACAACATATCTCTATTGGGAATCTTCTTGACACTGCAACCACAGTCTGACCCACTCTGGCAGGCTATGTGAACCAAGACATTTGGAGAAACTAGTACAAGATAGATGTGCATCATCCCTTCAAAATTCCTTGGGTGTCGCTGCCTAAGAAGGTGGCTTTGTAAGTTGTTACCACACTTAACAGTAGTTTTTAAAGCCGATGATTGCTAAAGAGAGCTGGAATATCTGTGGAAGCATAGACTTGCCAACCTTTTTTCCTCACAGCTGTGTGTGTTGAATTTTAGCTGAACTTACTTGAAAACTATATCTATCACCCCTTTCTGCATCTGAGAACTGGATCTTACATTTATTCTTCTATTCAAATAAAATTCACAAATACAAAATATTTCAACACCAACACAAAGGTTGAAAACCCTCATCAACCCAAAAGGCAATTCTCAGATATAATCTTCACTCGGATTGACACTTTTGTCATGCCACCTTTCCGTAGCCACTGAATTCCGGTCTTGTAACTACAATAAGCAGTGCCCATAGTTCATAAACTAGCAACTTGCCCCTTCTTAAAATAAAAAGCATACCTGAAGCCATGTTGGGTTGATGAATCACTGATGTGTTTGAAGACAATTTTCTTCCTCTCACCCGTGTTGTCCATGGTGCCCTCTGAGCTGGTCTTATATACGAAAACATATCATGTTTATTGAGCTGTGGGAGATCATCAGCGTACACTGATACATATATGTAAAGGTTATCCATGTCAGTTGCTGACAAAGAGAGTACTGAGGTCTGGACCATATCACTGTGACCTAGCTGGATGAGGTGAGAGGTGTTGATCTCCCAACTATGTCCATCTGGATTTTTTTAAACAGCACCAACATTTGCTTGTGATTGATTGCAGCGTACAAACAATACTAAATAGCACAATAAAACTGGGCAGAAGACTAGTGTAATGTAAGGTATTATATTATATTATATTTTATTATATATCTGCATAAAATCTTTTTTACCACTGAAAAAGCCTGAACAAATAAAAAAATTAATTTGACACACACACACACACACACACACACACACACACACAAAGATGGCAACTCTTAGGAAGGGAAATTGCAGAGACAGGGTGCCAGAGCAGGCAAGGTCCTGTCTTATGGGTCTGGTTTCTAGTAGAATAGACTAGGTCTTGAGTAATGACTAGTTGACTCTTCCTGAACTTGAGGAGATGGGCCTCAACACAGTGTTGAGCTTACTGATCCTGGACTTAAACCTTTTTGGTTGTCATGACAGTCACGGGGTTGTCCCAGAATATTATCAGTCTGAATCATAATCTCAATCTTGTATTTTGTGCTGGACAGTTAGATATTTGATTCTTTGGAAGGAACTGATGGGGACATTTGCTACAGGCCTACAAAGCTGGAGGAGTGGGAGGAATACTTTTTTTGGAATACCCCTCCCAGAATACCCCTAACAGTGTGGTTACAATGCTGGTTGCAGGATTCTGGGAACTGTAGTCCAGCAATACCAGACTGTAGTCCAACAATGGAGGAGGGTCAAACAATTGTCCCTCCTGATTTACCTGATGTTGGGTTCTACCTGACAAAGGGCTCCTGGACTTATCAAACAAAATGCACCATGCACGTGTTCTGTCTTTCTCTTCTTAACAAGTTTTCTCTGGCAAGGAAAAAGATGAGGAAAATAGGAAGGTTCGAAGTAGAAAATTGTGTCTTCTGGACTCCCTCTCCTATAAAATTTCATTAATGATGCAGAAGTTGGTTACTTAATAAAAACTCCTCACCTGGAAGCAACCATCCTTACCAAATTGTCATCTGGTGTTTTCTCTGTGGTTCTTTCATTAAAAAAAAATAGAGAGCTCAGGAATTAAATTTAATGGAAAAAGCAGAATGGTACTAGATTCTCCAAAGATATGAAGGATTTAGTGCTATTGCCTCTTTAAACAGACAAGATGTTATCAAGCAGGTAACCATGTTGCCATGCTTGATAATATCTTGTCTGTTTAAAGAGGCAACAGTGCTAAATTTTTCATATCTTTGGAGATTCCTCTGCCTTGTTGCCATGTGGGCCAGTGTGGTGTAGTGGTTTGAGCATTGTACTATGACTCTGTAGACCAAGATTCAAATCCTGGCTTGGCCATAAGAACCCACTGGGTGACCTTGGATAAGTCACACTCTTTCAGCCTTGGAGGATGGTAATGCAAACCCCCTCTGAAGAGACTTGTCAAGAAAACCCTATGATAGGTTTGCCTTAAGGTCACCATAAGTTAAAAAAAGACTTAGAGGCACACAACAACAAATCTTGCTTCCGTGCACCCACTATTATCTTTCTAATAGGGCAGTTTTATCACCATGCTACAGTTTTTGTTTAAATGTATATTTTTAAAAGCTTGTGCGGAGTCATATCTTCAGTAAGATCAAAATAATTTTCATCGTGCCCAACCTGGATAGACTTTGGATGCAATGAAAATATAGGATGTTACAGGAGAGCCATCTGATCACCTTCAGTTACCTCCAATCTGCACAATCTCTGAAGGTATAGACAAAGTGACTGGTGGGATGCAGTCTATCATGTCTCTGATCTTAGGCTTAATCTCATGTTAGTAATGCTGATTATGGTTTGTTTTTCTTGCATATTTAACTGTTTATATGGCAGATGTTTAAAACTGCAAACCACTGTGTATATTTTAATTAAAAATACCTATACATAATTCAAATACATAAACATACTGTCAGCCCTTTTTATCCACTGATTCTTCATCCATGGATTCAAGCATCCATGGCTAGAATATATTCCAAAAAAGAACAAATCCCAAATAGCAAATCTTGATTTTGCTATTTTAGATAAAGAACATCATTCCACTATGCCATTGTATATAATGGGACTTGAGCATCCATGGATTTTGGTATTCACAGAAGATCCTGGAACCAAAACCCCAGTGGATAACAAGCACCCACTGTAGTTTCTTTTACTGAGTGAGATTTCTCTTGGCAAATGGAAACAGTATATATACCTGAGGCTGTCAAAACATGGAGTTCAACATACATTTTCTAATATAGCATCTTTTTGAGAAGAGAAATAGTGTCTCATAGTGGTAGTTTCCACCTGGAAGGAGCACTGGGAATCAGATACAGGAAAATCAGGTGCTTCTGTGAGTACCAAGGAGGTATGTTTTCCTTTGACCTTAGTAACAAGTGAAATAATATTGGAGTAGAGAGGCTGGAAATGTAACATCCTGTTTTTCCTGCGGCATTCTTCCCTAAATATTGAACAGGATACATTTTTTTTATTTTAAATATTATTATTTTATTCAAATTATAATAGCAAAACACAAACCAAAAATACAAAGAGTCACTTCATAATCTTCATATATCAACTATTATCTATGGTCTTCTAGACCTGCTATGGAAAGGGGAGAATATCCATTGTGTCTCTCCAAAATGAGAAATGTTTAGATCCCTAGGAAAGCATATTTGATGGTAGAGTTTGAGAGATAGAAACTTCTATACTTTCAAAAAACAAAGCAGGATGCTCCAAATATCAGAGTTATAAGGATTCTGATTTTTGCAGCCATGTCTTGTTCTCTGCGTCATGCTGATGGCTATACCAAGCTTTGGATTCCAAGTGTGCTCTCTTACAACTCCTCTGTTGTTGACATCTTGGTAACACACCCACAGGGGCTTATGCAACCCAGCTCAGTGATCTTCCAGTCCGTGACATTTAGAGGAAAGGTTTGATGTCACCCCATTAATAAACACAGATTTGGGAAGGTGAGTTGTAGGCCTCTTCTCAGAAGCCCCTCATACAAGCAGGGTAGTAACATCATGTAAAGGTCATCTCCTAGGAAAGCCACTTGTGGCGGGGTGTGTGAGAGAAAAACGCACACCCCACTCATGTTTGGTGTCCAGTAACCAAAAAAGGCAGCAACATCTGGATGTGTTTTTCCCCTCTTTCACTTTAGATTATTTTCAGATTCATCTGCATTTGCCACATCATGCTCACGTTTAGGAAACTATGCAAAATTCCTGTCCCCCACACCTTAGGAAGGTACATCAGAGCTGGAGACAGTTGTGTAAAGGACAGCCAAAATTGTATGAGGTGTGGAGTATCTTTCCTTCAAAAGTGTTAGAAATATATTATGGCTTTGAGTTTAGAAAATTGTCAGTGATGTGAAATCAGAGATGAGGGAAGGGAGAAAGAGACAGAAGTTGCATTCTATCTCTCAAAAAATACTAACAAACCATGATAATTTGCAGTTAGCTCAGGACAAGCAAAAGAAATTACTTTTTCACATTAAGAACACAGAAATTATGAAATCAATTGTTACAAGATCTGGTTGTAACAGACATTTTGGCAAGTTTGCGGAGGCTTGATCTATCAGTAGCTAAATGAAACTTTCAAATTCAGGGACACAGAGACCACTTCTCTCAGGTGAGTCAAAGGAGGACAATGTCCTGTTGATAGCATTAATCCAGACTAGTATAAGACATGAAGTAACAGAAAGGGAGGCAGAATGTAGATCGGGATCTCCTTGTAGTTCTCTAGGTGATTTGTAGTAGATTGGCAAGGATTCTGAACCTGTTGTTGAACAATAGCAGCAACAGAACTATCCAACTCCCAAAATTCTACTGTTCGGGATTAACCAGGAGTGAATATTTGTGTGGCAGGACTTTGAGCTCTTGCCAGTTTTGGTCCCCAACACAAATTTCGGGCCTCCAAATACGAATTTTATGAGTCAACCTATATGCTATGTTAATCACATAGGATCCTTTAAAAAACCCTCTAAAAGTAAGCATGTATAGTGGACCCTTGGTATCTGCTGGGGTTTGGTTCCAGGACCTCCTGTGGATATCAAAATCCATGGATGCT